TCTAGTTAATAAATAAGACCTATATTAAAAGTTTAAAATATATGGCAGAAGTTACTAAGGAAGACTTATCTGGAGATCTATACCCCAGCCTCCTAATATAAACATTAGGCAGAATATAAATATTAGCAGCTCACATTTCATGGGTGCTTGTTTCACAGGCATTCTGCTAAGCACTTTTTTAAAAAAATAAATTCATTTATTTATTTTATTTATTTATTTTTGGCTGTGTTGGGTCTTCATTGCTGCACGCGGGCTGTCTCTAGTTGCAGCGAGCGGGGGCTACTCTTCACTGCGGTGCGCGGGTTTCTCATTGCGGTGGCTTCTCTTGTTGCGGAGCACGGGCTCTAGGCGCCTGGGCTTCAGTAGTTGTGGCATGAGGGCTCAGTGGCTGTGGCTCGCGGGCTCTAGAGCACAGGCTCAGTAGTTGTGGTGCACGGGCTTAGTTGCTCCGCGGCATGTGGGATCTTCCCCAGACCAGGGCTCGAACCCGTGTCCCCTGCATTGTCAAGAGGATTCTTAATCACTGTGCCACCAGGGAAGTCTCAGCACTTTTCATATATTAATGAATTAGATCTTCAAAACCACCGTTTGAAAACTGAACTATGATTATCTTCCTTTTACAAGTAAGGAAACTGAGAGACAGAATGGTTACAGCCAAGGATTCCGTGCATCAGATTTTAAGAAAACTGCTGTTCTAGAGTATCGTGTAGAACACTTCGCTGGGGACTTCCCTGGTGGCGCGGTGGTTAAGAATTTGCCTGCCAGTGAAGGGGACACGGGTTCGACCCCTGGTCCGAGAGGATCCCACGTGCCGTGGAGCAACTAAACCCGTGTACCACAACTACTGAGTCTGAGCTCTAGAGCCCACGAGCCACAACTACTGAGCCCGTGTGCCACAACTACTGAAGCCCGCGCCTACGGCCCATGCTCAACAACAGAAGCCACCACAGTGAGAAGCCTGCACACCACAACAGAGTAGCCCCCGCTCGCCGCAACCAGAGAAAAGCCCATGCACAGCAACAAAGATCCAACACAGCCAAAAATTTAAAAAAATAAATAATAATAATTTAAAAAACACTTTGCCGGCTTGACTCTGAATCCCTTGCCTAGATGTTCCTTAGTTATGTATGTTGGATTACACATGGGGCTTGGTAGAAAAGCCACATTCAACCAAGGAATAGAAACTGGATTCTGGAAATTCATTTAACTTGATGATAAAATTAAGGCTTAAGTGTCCAAACACGTGGACATCGCAAGGCAGTCAGCATCCTTCCCACAAGCCTAAGCCATCGAGGATTGACCGTGGTCGGGGAGACTTTTCTCCACTGTGGATGAGCCTCAGACAGCCGGACAGGATGAGGTCAGTCCTAGGGAGAGGCTTGATCTCAGCTATGAGTGCCAGAACCCCTGTGCTCTGATAAAAGGGATCAATAATGCTCACCAACACCTTCCCATCTCTGAAGAAATTATGAGGAGGATAAAGTAAAATGGTGTACAGTACCCCAAATCAAACAGGGTAATTTTACAATACACAATGTTCATTTTACAATAAGCACTGGGTAAAACAGGAATAGCCTTCAGACTAAAAATAAATATGTTGCAATTTGCTAAAAACATTGTACTAAAGGGGCTGCTGGGATGAAAACTCAGAGTCAAAAGGTGAGCGTCCCACCAAAGGCCAAGAAAAAGAGTGACTTAGCTCCCTTCCTGGGGCTGAGTGGGGTTGTATCCCTGTGAATCAATACCTCTGGGTTCTCTGCAGACTGTAGCCTTCCTATCTACCCATATAACTTATTTAAAAATACTTTCATAGTACTTACTACACGCTAGGTCCTGTCCTAAGCACTTTACAAATAGTAACTCATTCAGTCACCAAGATAACATCATGAGGTAGGGACTAATGTTATCCCCATTTACAGATGTGGAAGCTAAGGCAGAGAGAGGTGAAGTAATTCGTCCAAGGTCACAAAACAAGTAAACAGGAATTGAACTCAGACTAGCTTTAGATTCCTCATTCTTAACCACTCTGCAATGTATAGAGGGTTTGGGGGCACAGGAATTTGGTCAATGACGTTCCTTTTGGTTTTCCTAGATTTCGGAAGTGTCACCAGAAATTATAAAAATTTCAAAACAAGTATCAAAGTCTTGACGGACTCTAGCCTGAAAATAACGAAATTAAACCCTCCATAAAATAAACAGCATCGCTTTTGAAGTCTTAAATTGCTAAGCAGTCTTTGTTGAGAAAAAGCTTGTATGTATACACATGCAGGCACAAACACTTACACATGTACATAAGCATATGTAAGTTACAGTTATATATAAATCATAAACTCAACACAAACAAGCTATGGATGATTTCTTCAACTGCAAAATTTGCTTTTGAGTGGAGAAAGAGAAACAAAGCTTAAGATCCCATGGGTTAGTTTACAGCCCTTTTTTTCTTGGACTGGCTAATTCATGGTTTGCAAGGCCCTCGTTAGTAGGATGACGGCAATGACCATGAGGGAAGGAAGTGACATTGCCTAGGTTCATAACACTCTGTTCTATGGTAAGACTTTCTTGGACAGGGTAGGCAGCAGAGCAGAATGGAGCTGAAGGTCTAAAGGTACTCTCACAGGAAAGATGAACTGTAAAACACGGTCTAATTCACAACCAAAGCAGCCGCATAGCACAGGGAGATCAGCTCGGTGCTTTGTGACCACCTAGAGAGGTGGGATGGGGAGGGTGGGAGGGAGACGCAAGAGGGAGGGGATATGGGGATATATGTATATGTATAGCTGATTCACTTTGTTACACAGCAGAAACTAACACACGACTGTAAAGCCATTATACTCCAATAAAGATGTTAAAAAAAAAAGGATCATTAATTCAATATTGTCTTGTCTTTATATTTTACATTTACTATGTATTATACAGTTAGCGGCTGGCAGCTCCCTTAAAGCGTTCAGAGACATGCCCATTCAAATTAACGTTTGCTGGATAACAGTATTCCTTCCAGAAGAGATGGCAAAGTCTCTTTTAATTTCTTCTCCAGAGCCTCAGATTGAAGAAATAAGGTCAGAAATGGCCAGGCAGCTAATAGGTCTGATGCCAATTCTTGTGTATTTAGAGAAAGGCTGTTCGACCACAGACTCATCAGTAGGAAGAACGTGCCCCTTGTATAAACACACGAGCTCCTCCACTGCATGACCGTTAAGTGCCGACTCTTTGCCAGCACTGCAGACACAATGACACACTACATACGCGAGATTCCTGCCTTTGTGGAACCCGTGGCTTAGTTGGGGAGTTGGGCAGTCAAACAATCAGGGTAGTGGGCAGATGACTACAAATGGAGAGCCATAATCAAAAAACCCCCAAAAACCAAAAGGAAAAAAACAAGTGTTTCGAGTGCCTGTAGGTAAAGAAGCTGGCCGAGACTTGAGGCTGTGGGGGTAGAGGGCAGACTGGGATGGATGTGCTAAGAAGCAGAGGAGGAACATTCCATACAGAAGGAGACAAGAATAAAGGAAAATCACATGCGTGCATGTAGAAAGGTCTGTGGTTGCATGAACCCAGCATCTTCAAGACCTGAAGGAGTGCCACATGGATGGTGTCCTAGGGAGAGAGGTGGGGGAGAGTGGTGGGCAATTAGTCTGAAAAATGAGGCAGGGGGAAGACCACGTGCGACCTTGCAGAATCGATTAAGGATGGGGATTTTATCCTCAGATACAAGGGAAGACATAGTTGTGGAAAACCATGATCAAATACATTGTCAAGAGGCTAGGTTTTCCACTGATGTAAAAGGCCATGGGAGCTAGTCACGTGGGCTTTCTTTTTTTTTAATGTACTTGAAATTTATTTATTCATTCATCTATCTACCTGTTTGTTTATTCATTTACTTTCAGCTTTATTCAGGTATGATTGATGACTACAAATTGCATATATTTAGGTTATACAACATTATTTTCTAAGGTGTACAATGTAGACAACGTGTACAATTGTGAAATGATGACCCCACAATCAAGTTAATGAACACATCCATCACCTCACATTGAATCTAGGCTTTAGGAGTCATGCAAAACACAAACATGTCTAAATGAATGACGGGCTATGGATCATGACAGGGCACATCATAAATGCAACTGGACCAAGGCAAGTTATCTGTAGCTACTGATCTTACCATTCCCCACCCCCTTCAACCTTCATCTTTTCCAGTTTAGGCAAGACAATGATTTAACACACTGAACAGTAAGTGAATGGGTTGCTCTACTGATTTCTCAAGGAAGCAAAAGGATACAAGGACAGCTCTGGGGGCACCATCGAACTACACGTAACGCATGTCAGAATGAGGCTTTGTAGCCTTTTAGCAACCGTCAATGTATGGAGACCGGACAAGCCAACATCACTACATCTTGGCCCTTGCCATTGGTGTTTTGTAAATCAGCATGAAGCGAGAAGGGCTTACTTTCCAGGGAAACTCAACTCGCTACTATGTAGGTATGGTGAAGGTGAACCCTTTCTCAAAAACATGCAGAAAGATACAAATATTGACATAATGACTTTTCAAATAAGGTCCCAGAGTTATCTATGTAGCAAGAGATCATGTAATGTTAATTGTTTTGTGAATGTATGAGGGGTAAAGAAACAACTACCCCTTACTCAAGGTTGCAAATATGATCTTCATGGTTTCCTATCCAGCTGCCATTCTGAGTAAAGGGACTTCAAGTCTGATTCAAGGCTGACCCTGAACTTGAATGAAGGATACTTCTCCAGGACAGGCCTGCACATGGATTCCCCCAATGATTTTCAATCAATGAAAAAAAAAAAAAATATATATATATGTATGTATGTATGTATGTATGTATAAACTCTCCAAGAAATGTGCAGAGCCATTCTGTCTCCCCGGGGATTGCTATGCTTTCTCTCCCAGACACAGCCATGCTCGACATCGTTGTTAAGTGCTCAGCCTCCCTCTGCGGTCATTTTATTTGTAATAGTGTCTTGTGTGTTGTGTCTCCTAGCTCTACATACAAACTACCACGCTTACCATCTCCATGAACCTAAGTGCATCAGTGGCGCTGGGGATGTTATACATGCCGAAAGTGTACATCATCATTTTCCACCCTGAACTCAATGTCCAGAAACGCAAGCGAAGCTTCAAGGCCGTAGTCACGGCAGCCACCATGTCATCGCGGCTGTCACACAAGCCCAGTGACAGACCCAACGGTGAGGCCAAGACAGAACTCTGTGAGAACGTAGACCCAAACAGTAAGTATCTCTCCTTTCCTTCCATCTCCCCAGCCTGCGTCAGGAAGCTCTGGCAAACGTGGTGTGTGCTTGCCTTTCTTTGGAGAAAGACTGTGACCGTTCTTGTCTTACGGGCTGGGTTGCCTAGGCACATGCTCACGTCTGCTCTTAAGAGTGTGCTCATTCTTGCCACCATTTTCTTTTTGCTCCCTGTGGGAAAGCAGCTTTCAGAGGCTCTGCTTCAGAAGTGTGAAATCTCCCCCTTCCCTGGCTTCTTAATCTTTGGTCCCAAACCCTCCAACTGACATAAGCACAGCTGTTAAGCCACCTTCCTTGTTCCCTTCCTCTTAGGGGATCAGCTTCCTGCTAGGGAACCTTCGACATCCCACTGAACTGCAGCAGTAGGAAAGAAATTGGAATATTTAAGAATTTTGGACGCATAACTTCCTTGCACTGGAACATGAATGTGGAGAAAGTTATGATTCTTTACTAACCAAGCCTTGCAGAAACAAAAAACACATCGCATATTGAATAAAGCCGGTAAACATTCATGCAAGTATACAGGCCCAGACACTACCACGCTAATGGCATCCCCACGTGGGGAAAACACCTACCAGACAATTCCAGAGGAGTTTCACCCCATGAAAGACAAATATTAGAGGTGGGATTAAGGATGAAATGCCAGATTTGATACCTACATGGCCTGTCTGCAATGCCTGGGTAGCCTTTATTCATCCCTGGAAATGACCACAAAGACGACGGACATACAGACACTAGTTTGCTAAAAAAGAAAAAAAGAAAAAAAGGAAAGGAAAGAAAGACCATTTAACCAGAGTTAAATTCTTAAAATCCCCACTTGCTAATTTTACTAATACTATGGTGGTAAGAGTGCATTTCAGATTAAACATATCACTCCTAGGATTTGTTTTCCAGGACATTTTGACTAGTTCCATATAGAATGAGGCAGTTTAGCGTGTTCACGATACTTCCTGTTTTAAACTAGAGGAGGTTTCAGGTTGGCCATTAAGTCGTTCAAGACTTATTGTTCAGTTATGAGCTGATTTTGTTGTAGCCAAAGGTTTACTGCCAAGCAGAAAGCAGTTCCTATTCTAAATACTCTGACGTAATTCTTTATGCTCTACAACTGAGATCTTTAAAAACCAGGAGACAACTGAGTTTAACCCTGACAACTATTGTACAACGACCCATGACCTTGGCCCAGTCCATTTCTAAATAGTTGGCTGAATGACTACGGTGGATGCTTGAGAGTCTGTGGACAAGGAAACAAAGGCCCATTAACAACATCATGGGCTTCACGTTGACGTTTCAATAGGAGAGATCCTGGGACAGGTGAGAGGAGGGAGAAACAATGGATGGTCAGGCTCTGTTCTTGTGTCTTCAGAAAAAAATGGTCAATTCCAAGGAAAGGGAATAGATAGAGAATTGCTGTGATATTCAATGTGGTGTAGGAAGAGGCTTCGGGTTGAGACAGACCTGGGTTCAAATCCAAGCCACTCCACTTACCAGCGGTGTGGCTTTGAGAATTACTGAGGTTTTCTAAAGTTCAGCATTCTCATGGATGAAATGGAGATGATAATATCTATGTCACAAGTGCGTCATCAAATCTCATACATCTAAAAAAACAGTATATCAATTACATGTTAATGTTCTTCCATTTCTGTAAAGGTGAAAAAGCCCACATTTCAGTGTGACTGGTTACATAGACGTGATGGTGACGTTAAAGGCATACCAAACACCACAAGGTAGATGGAACTGGCCAATAAAAATATTTCCATGAACATTTTTATGCATCTATTTATATGTATCCTGTATTGATAAATATACCCGCACAGTTATACTTTTGTAGCATTTTATTCTAGGACCCCTTGCCAGATTTTTCATAAAACCCTCACCCTGAAGATGTTCCAACAGCAGTTTTACATTTATATTTGTATACACACACACACACACACACACACACACACACACATGTCCAAAATCAATAAGCAGAAAATATGGTCAAAAGTCTACATGTATTGAAAATTAATGACCAAACTAGGAGTTTTGACGTTGGATAATTAACCTAACACTATGCTACTTAGAAATAACTAGCTTTTTAAACAACATTGTAACTGTTGTTAACCTTTAATGATGAGGTTCTATCCTTGTGGAGGCTATGTGGGGTATGATCGTGGCTGTTAAAATGCCAATACTAACACTGACACTAATAATAACAAAAGCCCATCAGCTACCCTTTGAAATAGGCAGTAAACAGAATGCTTTGGGTGGAAGATCTCTTACTCCTCACGGTAACTCTGTAGGCTGGTGATCATTATTCTCCTTTTACTGAAGCATCCTAGGCGTAGGGAGATCAAGGGATATTACCAAAGTCCCACACTAGATAGCAGCAGAGCTTGGTCTGAAACCCAGGTCTGACTCCCAAACCCATGCTTGTTGCTCTTTGCTGCTCTGTTTCTCAGAACATCGGTGACATGTCGTAGTTCTAATGCAGAAACTACTCTTTTGGCTTCTTCATTTGGTAATACAGCTTGCATATACAGAATAAAATGATGTGTGGCGGTGGACTCTTTGGTTAAATGTGCTGTGAAATGCATTCCTGCTTGCTGTGTTGTCTGCAAAGACAGGAGTAACCTGAGCTCAAAGAAGGCTGCCCAGGTAGAGGCCTCATCTTACTAACTCAAAAATCCAAGTATCTTATGACCTGTGTCAGTCACGACAATTATTCCATTTGGAATTCATTTGCTGCCTTTCTCTTGAAAAAGTTTTGTTGGGTTTTGTCACTGTTGATGTGTTGGTGTCTACACAGAACAAAGAATAAATAGTTCAGGGGGAAAAAATGAAACCAAAAAGAGCCTTTGTCTTATAGCCAATCCAGAAGATTTTTAAAAATTATTTTAGTTATTTTGGTTTTGTGTAGACACTCCCTAAAACTAATCGTCAATAATTTGCCCAGATATTTGCTGAATTATAGGAGGAGATTCATGTACCTCCAAACATGGGGGTTTCTGACGACCCAGCTCCCAAAGGTCCCTGAGAGGAATCAAAAGACCTTCTCTGCACAAAATCTGTCCAGTAGAATTTTCTGCAATGATGGAAATGTTCTCTGCCCAGTTGTGCTGTCCAGTATAGAAACCGCTAGTCACCTGTGGCAATTCAGAACTTGAACCATGGCTACTTAACTGATGAAATACACTTGAAACTTTTAGTTCATTTTAAATAAATATAAATAGCCATCCATGGCTGTGACTATTCCATTGGAGAGCACAGCCAGAGATCTTAAGAGCAAGGATTTCACTCTGGGATGCTCAGTCTGAGCCTATATTTGAAATACCTCCCAAGGTTTTAGCAGTGATGCTGATCTGGGACAAAGTCAACTGAATGGAATGAAATATCTGAGGTGAGACAAAAATGCAAACCTACAGCTATTTTAAACGACCCCTAAGGAGCCACTAATACGGAAATAGTGACATCATAGATAGCAATTATATCTGGAAAACCAGTCCTTAGTAATGCAAAAGTGAATGTATAAAAAGGACAGTAGTGAAAATTCAATTAATCAAAATAGACATGACTGTTTTGATGAGAGAGAACATTATTTTTCTATTCTATTTAATACCAAATATAGCTCAAAGTATGTCAGATTTCTGCACTTTGGTAACAGAGACAAATTATTGGCTGAAATTAAACTGTCTGGTTAAAAAGAAACAAATAGAAGTACAGACCACGTACTTAAGAAAGGAATGTGTCTCCAAAGGGGAAATTCTGTCTTCTGTTCTCTGGGGGAGTGTATCTGGGAGAACGCTGAATTTATAGACTGAGCTACGAAGTTAATAATGGAACAGAAACGTGCCTTATTGTTTCTCTACACACTCAGTCTCAACCTATTTCAGTCTTCAGTGTTTTCATTTTTCACAGCTCTGCTCCATCACTGCAGTTTGCTATCTGGTGCATGCTCGCTTCTGCTCATCCAATGGCACACAGCAACTACATGTCCACGTAAAGACGAATTTGCTTGTTGGCTTAATACGGGCAGAAATTAAAACTGCCCCTGCACTGCTTGATTTTTCCCCAAGAAGTTCAGTTTTCCTCTTAGCTTGCCTCTTCACTTCAAATTCCATTGTCTGAAAGAAAAACTTCTTTCTGCATGGATTCAACAAAAAAGTAAATCTGCTCAAAAATTTTAATGTATCTGTGAACTGCCACCATATTGGATAGTCAGAGTTGGGCCAATGCTTGTTGGTTTCTACACTCAGACTGAAAAACCGCAGGGGCCCTAAGCGTGTAGCTCAGCTACTTACTGTATTTTTATGTATAGAAACAATATTTCTGCTGCTAGAGGATCACAAGTGCCTGACCTAATGTGGATAGCTTTAGATCTGGCCACCATGATGCCTTCTCCACATTCCTTCTCTAAGAAGAAAGGCACCTCAAGCTCTGGTTCTCGCAGCTGTGTCCTGAATTTGGCGTGTTTCCCCCAACTTTCTATTGTTGACTTGGCAGATGTATGTTCAAGGCAAACTTGAAGATGCCAGATCAACAGGAGGACGTGGTTCTTGGCTTATCCGTGGCCACCAAGACCTTTTCCCCGTTGGATGAATAGTATTAACCGAGTCAGCACAGCTTTATTGGGATGGTGGGTAAGGACTGTTCCCTTCCTCACCTGGACTAGTCACAACCAGAAGATGCTCTGTGAATTATCCTCTGGTCAGATGCTTTCCTGACCTGTAAAGGATTGCAGTGCACGGAGGATGAGCAGCCCTAAGCTACCAGGTTCTAAACTACCATCCATTTTCGGAGCCAATGCCCCCAGGCAGTGCAGAGAAACTGCTCAAGTACCCTGACCGGTTACAGATAATTTACTCTGGAGCTGCCTAGCAATTAGAGATGGCAGGCAGGTGGACAGCGTGGGATTCACCGCCTTTTTGGATATGGGGCCATATGACTGATAAACTGACCCTGAGAGAGAGGCTGGATACACACTGTGCAAAAAGACGAGCTTAAGACAATGAGCATATTGCAACGAAGCACGTTTTAAAAGAATGACCATTTATACCTAAAATAAACAATCAAAAATAAGATTTTTAAAGTATATGTTTGTATTCTGGTGCTGTTTTTTAATCACCAGTTTGCATATACTGTAAAGAAAATATATAAATAAAAACTTGTGCTGTTCAATTAAACCCCCCAACTGCTAGAAAATGGACGAGGGTACCAAACCCTACACAAGTAACAATGCCTAGAAAATGCTGGAACACGCTCCTATGCTGTGTCACTTTGTTATGGTTTTTTGGTTTTCATTTTGTTTTGTTTTGCTTCTTCATTTGTTTGGATCCCTGACATCCTCTACATTATTATGTTACTTGTTTCATCTTTCTGGACTAATCGTGCAGGTCAGCATGAGTGGACTAGGCTGAGAAAAACTAGGATGGCAACAGGAAGAAAAAAATGCCCTGAGCAGACAGATACATTATTTTGGGGCTGGTTCCCTCACCTGCTCCAGTTCAAACAAGTAAAACCCAACTGCCTTAAACCAAGAGGCACCCGTACTCCCATGTTCAGAGGTACCTGAATTGTGGTCAACTGGTCTTCCAAAGGCTACTGAACCCAGTGAAAGAGTGGGCATAATGTCTATGGTCTCTATCGCAGCCTCTTCTCCAAAAGGAAAGAAAAAAGAATGAAAAGGAATGTTGTGTGCACTTTTATTTTATACATACCTATATATTTACTTTTCCTGTAGACTGTATACCACCAGTAAGAAAGAGTGTACAAAAGTCTGTTACTTGGTACACTATCCCACCAACAGTGTAGCTTTTGCCTGCTTTCCAAAAGGTAAGAAACAATCTACTTTTTATTTATTTGTGTGTTCTTGTCTCCACTGAGAATTAGAAATGTTTCCATGAAAACTGTGCATGATTACCTAGAAATCCATGTATATGAAGAAACGCGTTTTTGAAGATGATACTTGCTAAGCATAGTGTGGGTCACGGGCCTGGTTTATTCCCTGGAGAACATGTGACTGGACTGGGCGCGTGCACATCTGTCTTTCCTGAACAAGTAGCCGATAATGGCAAAAGTGGTGCTGGTCAGCCTACTTTAAAACTCTCAATGGTGACAGATTATTTTTAAATGCATGTGTTCAGACTATGATTTGAGAAGGCAATGTGGAAAACTTGAAGGGAGAGAAGGAGGGTGTTTCATAAGCTTAGTAAATATGTTTGTTCTGGTTTATTTTTAAATTAAATACATCCCCAGAAATATATTCATTCAAAAAGCAATGAATGACCCTACCATCGTAAACCCAAAATGGTCATGGTTCCTTCTTTGTGGCAAAGAAATACTAAAGGTTTGCTGGCTGGGCTCGATATTGTGTTGAAGATGATTTGGGACTCATAATTCTGCCTTAGAGAAACAGTGGACCAACTTCACTGATTTGAGAAAGCGGGGAAAGGTTCAGTGAAAGACCTGAAGAGTCTA